CAAGGGATGGAAAGCCAAGGCAGGAACTGAGGAAATCATCCTTACTCTGTCAAAAGCTGATGCAACTTCTGATAGCCCCTCTCCAAGGCCAGAGTCACAGGCGTAGCTCCTTCATTGTTGCGGATGCAGAGAGCTCCTCTTCCACCTGGCTGCTGTAACAGAAACCACGTCAACCGCTGCAGACCTAGCCTCACTGAAAAATGCAACAGTGTCTCCCGGGGAATATTCTCTGTAAAGAAAGAAGAAAAAAAGAAAAAAGGTATTTGTAGAGTGCAGGTTAGATGAACATTGTTTCCCCCACAGCCCAGTTACTGGAGTCGAGCCACACACAAAATACAGTACAATGGTTGGCATAAAACTAAAAGTTGCTCTGAGCCAAAAAGTCAGGCAACCTAAACACTGAAGCACCTGGAAAAACATGCTGTGCAAAGCCTGGCTGCTAGAGCTCAGGAAAGCTGGGTGCCTCAAAGCAAGGGGATCGCCATGGGAATCCTAAGGAAAGCTGGGACCACTCTGGACCTCTTAAGAACAGACCTCATGCCCAAGCCAATGTGAAAAGGCCAATTTCCTAACCGGGCTTAAAATCTATGGAGTTGAAATACTTCTCAAGAGGAGCTTCAAGATGTACATTCAAGTATATATGTAAGCACTGTCCTCCCACAGAAACCTGTATGAAATGTTTGGCATTCCCAGATGTGATTCCTGCCTAGGCGCAGGAAAAAATGCTAAATGTAAGGTACAAATCTAGAGCAGATGTAAAGGAAAACAGTCCACACTTTCTCTTGGGAAGGAAGAAACAGGGGTTTTTCCTTTACAATTTGATTACGCCTTAGAACAGCTTTTTTATGATGCACACTTCAGCACGCACAGCAGCTGTATAACTGAGTAGCAGCATTTGTAAGTTGGGTGCGTTCCCTGCCACCACCTTTTATGTTTAATAAGCATGGCCTTATAGTTTGGTAAAACTCACTTTGAGCATAAGCTTTCATCTCTGAAAAATAACCCCTATTCCAAGAGCTGAAGCCCTAGAACTTTGCTCTGAACAGCAATCTCCCAAAATGAGCTCCAGATGCAAGGGCTGAAATACAGTATTTGCAGATCAAAGCATTTGCGACTCCTTGTACCAAGGGGACAGCCATCTGGATTTCTAAAACCCTCAGAATAGTTTAAAAAGTAAAGATTTGTTCTTAAAATTAAGACAGCATTTCAGCACAGAGCAGGGCAGTTTAGAAAGGCACCACTGAGACTGTATTAAACCAAGCCAATGAACAGATCTGGTGGAATACCCCGAGAGCTACAGGAATGATTTATATGTTTATTAATTTAGTCGACAACCCAGCCCATAGCGCAGGTTTAAAACGTAAGTGCATAACGCTTTCTGAAGTTGAGTTAGGTTTGCTTTTTTTTTCTCCAAGCGTCTTTTAGAAGGATGCCACAGTACAAATCAGTACTGACAGCTATATCTACCTTAACTCCTTTGCTCATCTGGATTTTTATTTCTTCTTTAAGGGACATCATTAAGGTCTCAAGTGTAAAAACAACACAGGGATTTTTATACTTTTTGCCATGTGGTTTTTCCTGAGCTTCTTGGATCAGTTTCTGCCCAACTTAATCTATATTCAAGAGCCAACAGCTTCCTGGCAGAATCTTCTCATAGAAACCCGAATTAGGGATTTGGCAATATACTACTCTTCCCATCTCAGCCTCTTTATTCGAGTAAAGCAGAAATCTGGTCTCTGTGGGCACAGGGTTGCAGCAGAACAGAGAAAGGATATCACTGAGTTTGCTAAGAGGCAACATATTTACAGCCTTGGGGAGAGAGATGACAAAAGTGCTGATATCAAGCATGGCATTGTATAAGGAGACAAGGCAGCTAATCAAGGGATCTTACCGACTTCCAGGAGGAAAAAAACCCCAGAAAGAAGGTGGTGGACTCCAGAGAGCAAGGAAAAGAAGAGCCAAGGGGACAGCAGAGAAAGTATGTGGAGGTGGGACCCGCACAACGTGAAACAGTATGCTCACAATCTGTACAAAAGCTAAGCAACCACTAGCTGTTTTGGTGCATCAGCTTGCACAGTTAAAAAGACAAGCCCCTGCTATCACAGATGAGACTATATCAGTATGTACATCTGTATGGCTTACTCCCGTCTGCAGTGGGAAGTATCCCATGCTTGTATGACTGCACCCTTGCTAAGGGTGCTGTACAAATATCGCCATTTCACGCAAAGGGAGAAATACAAGTCAGATTCTTGACCAAAACAGACCGGGCTGGGGCAAAACTGCATAGAACTTGGCTGAAAAAGGAAAGGAAAGGAAAGGTTCCAGGATGCAGGTGGCTTTCCCTTCTGTGAGCTCAACATCTTCCATCCGATTGGTGAACAAACAGATGGACCCATTTTACCTTCTCCTCCTCCTCACCTAATCTGGGCTAAGGAAGAGGATTCATTGTCAAATACACACATAAATTATCATCTTATTTCACAGATTTCATAGACATTACGGCTGGAAGGGACCTTGGAAGATCATCGAGTCCAGCCCCCTACCCCAGGGGCAGGAAGTCAGCTGGGGTCATGGGATCCCAGCAAGATATACATCCAAGCGTGTCTTGAAGGCATTCAAAGTGGGTGCTTGAACCACCTCCAACATCAGGCTATTCCAGACCCTGGGGGCTCGGACAGTAAAGAAGTTCTTCCTTAGGTCCAGCCTGAAACAGTCATGGATGAGTTTGACCGTTCGACCTTGTCATCCCTTGGGGCGCTCTGGTGAACAGATGTCCCCCAGATCCTGGTGAGCACCCCTGATAAACTTATAGGCAGCCACCAGATCACCCCTGAGCCTGCTTCTGCCAGACAAGCCTCTAAACACATACCATCATGGATCAGAATCCCAGGCTTCCTAGTACAGAGTTCATTGCAAGAATAATCATGATAACCAAGTTCACTGTTCTGCAGCTTTATTTAACCCCTGGAGCCACCACCTGCTATAGGACTGACAAGCAACAATACCCTGAATTGAGTGCCTTCCCTGACTGACTGCTTTTAGGTTTTCAACACAATGGATTTTCGAGAGTACTAAATTGCTTTAGGAGCCCAAGTCTCACGTTAAAAAGTGATATAAGCTCCTCAAACGTTTACCCATTTGTTTTAAATGGTGCTAACTACCTTCAGGGCAGCCAGACACGAACATAACTTCAAGATGCTTCATTCCCAGCATTTGGGTACTGTGTTTAGATGTAGAAGTCTAATAAGCTAGTGAATTCAGTGGCAGACAAGGTTCTCTGGGTAAATCTGATACCTTTTATTAAACCAACTCCAATTGTTGGAAAAAATCTTCTTTGCAAGCTTTTGGGTACAAATACCTTTAGTCGGGCTTTTGTACCCAAAAGTTTGCAAAGAAGAATTGTTCCAACTATTTGAGTTGGTCTATTAAAAGATATCAGATTTACTCAAACACCTTATCTGCCTGTGTCCTTCGAACAATGCAGTTACAACCTATTCCCCTGAATTCAGTGGAGCACTAATGCCTTTGAGTATCAATGGCAGAAAGGGCAAACTTCTACTGACATGCTGCTGACAGTGATTACATTAAGGCTACAAATTCACTGCCCAGTCCCAAGCCTTCAGGTCTGACAAACGTGTGAACTGGCACAAGGCCATGCTAACAGATGGGCACACGACACAGCATCCAAGAGACAAAAGTAAAATACACTTAGCAATTGTGGGTGCTCCAGGCAAGGATCGTAGCAGGGGCAGTGTGTATAAAACTTATATGGCCTGAGTTAGTTAAAAGGAGTGCGACATCTGTGTGCTGGATTAATTTCTAAAATAAAAAAGCACCCGTCACTGGTATGGCTGTTCAAGGCAAATATACAGGCTGTTTTCACCAGGCCTGGGAAGCAAAGGGAAAAGGAAGGACAGACAGGAGAAAGAGAAAGGAAAAGAGATGAAGTTACTTCTACCTCCCCTTTGTCTATCGACACACAAATCTTAGGGCTCTGGACATCAGGAATTCAGGCAGACTTTTGTCTGAACAGGTTGTCATAATACAAAATATATCTGCTCTAAGCATGGAGGAGTTAAGGAAACCTTTAACATGAATTAGCAATAGCTTTTCCTTCCCATTTGAAATGGTTGAAAGCAGAAAGATCTGTAGAATCACAATAGTCCTTCAAGTAACACACAGCTCTTTGCAATTAGAGAATTATGGAAATAAAGTACATGTAATACTGGCAAGACCATAGCTGTTTTGTTCCTTCCTTGTCTCCTAGTAATAAGCCAGGGTTGAAACATATGATTATTGTCCCATAATGGCAGAGCACTTTAATCTAGCTGGCAGGGCATGCAAAAATGTTTTTTTATTTTTTTGCAGTAGTGGCACACGAATAGCCAGTTTATATGGATAACTGGGGACAAACTTTTCTTCAAACTGACTATGCAAACTGACTAGAGTAAAGTCTAAGGCAGTGGGAGGGCAACCTTTATGGCTCGCATGCCACAAATTAGCCCTGCTCCCTCTCCCAGCGCCACTCCAATCCCTTACCTGATCTGCTGTACTGCTTTCTGCTCTTTGCCCTGTGTTCCCCGCCTGACCTGATGCTCTGCTTTTTGCTGCCTGCCCTATCTGCCTCTGTGCTTGCTGTCCTCTCCCCAGTCTGCCCAGTGCCATACACATAGGCTACCCGTGCTATTTGTGGCACCCATGCTGCAGGCTGCTCACCCCAGGTTTAAGGGACTGTTAACCAGAAACAGGTAACTCCTGAGGCACAAAATGATTGAGTGCAACAGAACTGAACAAGGTTGCTGGTTGTAGCCATGTTGGTGTAAGGACATAGGCAGGCAAGGTTTTTTGGGTAGATGCGGTATCTTATTCAACCAACTAAATAGCTGGAAAAAAGTTCTTTGCAAGCTTTCAGGCACAAATATCTTTCTTTAGGCATTGGGAGACTCTTCAGTTCTGTTATAACAGAACTGAACACACACAAGCTGTCCTCTGAGCCAGGGCCTTCATTTCAGTGAGTTTGATTAAAGCAAGATTTAAAAAAAAGAACAAACCCAAAGAAGTTTTTCCTCATTTGGAGCTTCCCATTATAAATGTTTTCGTCCCCCCTGTCCTGTCCTACGTGTCCTGAGATAACTCATAATGGAAGAGACAGACGCTGGGATGAATAGTTTGGAATATTTGTTGCTGGCTTTCCTGTGACAGTGTTGGCCAGTTCCATCTCCAAATCTA